TTTTAGTACAAAAAGGTAATCAGACAATTTACATGTGCAATAATTATAAAATAAATGGTGACTCAGTACAATTCCTATTTCTCCATACTAAGAATCTCATCAAAATAAAAACGTAAATCATCAAGTAATGCAGAACTGCATACTAAGTGCATAATTTGAAAGTATATCGGCATATAAATGCACGAAGTGGGATTCATTCTATTATAAATCAATTTTTATCTAGATATTTTTTCTTTACTGTACTTTTTCGAATAGCTTTCATGTACCGCACAAAATGAATAGTAGGTATAATAATTTTCACACAATTTGCAATTTAAATGAAAAAATACTAATATGGTGTCATATCTTTATCAATAAACACCTACCACTTATTCTCCTTACTACAATAAGTATGATTTCATACGTTGGTATATTTCAAGATTCAGATGATTTGTAGATAATTTTTTAAAGATAAATATGGTTTATTTATGTGAATTTGTTCAAATAAACTGAAATGAAAGACGTTTACTATGATATTAACACTGTAACCGACTTGTAGCATATATGAAAACTTTTAATGCCTCTAACGAGTTCTTAGTTTCATTTAAATATACTCCTAAGAAATAACTTTAGATAATTCGTAGAATATCATCTACTTCAGACTTAGACCCATTTATTTGTTGAACATGTAATGTCAATGTTCCAGTTAAATCAGACGTGGGTGTAGTGTAGGGAATTAACTAACCATCTTTAATTTTTGTTAATTTAGTTCAATACAAAATTACTTGGTCTAATTACGTTGCTTCCCGCAAGTAATGAAATTTTAAGAGCAGTCGTTGAAACATATGGCGAGATATCTTTAGAAGTTTTACAAAAATTATGATTAAGGTTCGAAAGATAAGACTAGGATATCTATACGTTTTTGGGGGCGCTGAATCCGAATGCGGTGTCCGTTTGTCCCGATTAACTTAAGGTCAGTTCTAAGGTCAAATGTAGAGAATCAATTGCCAACAAAGTAAACCCATAGATTTATACGTTTTTGGGGTAGCTGAATCCAAATCCGGTGTCCGTTTTTCCCGATCAGGTCTGGGTTAAGATCAGTTCAAGGTCAAATGTATGGAATCAATTGCCAGCTAAGTAAACCAATTTATCTGTACGTTTTTGGGATCGCTGAATTCGATTCCGGGGTCCTTTTGACCCGATCAGGTTTGCTAAATACTCTCAAGTTGTAAACTGAAAGGACTCAAGTTAAGCAATTATACATATTAAACATTGAGTAACAAATAAGATTAAAGAAAGAAATCTTTAACTCTGAGCACGTGACTCTCGATTTAATTGTTTAGACATGACAAAATTCTAGTATCAATAAGCCTAGTTCAGTAAGTTTTAAATCAATGTATCCGTTAATGCTTCAATGCTTCATACACATTTAAACAGTGAGTCCATGTCGATTGAGATTCTTGAAACCATTTTTGCAAGATAAGTGGTCGTTTGCCTTGATGAATTACTTGAAATCACTATATCTCAATGTTATGGTATCAAGACTACTACTTACACTTGCCGTATCCAACTATTTTGTTGTCAAAAGATCTGCGAAGTGAATGTCTTTGACGTTTTCTCGATTTCACTGGTAAATCTCGTTTTACCGTCCAGCAATAATCGGCTCACAAGTTTAAATCCCATCTGCCTTGGTACGATGCTCCATTTACTTAATATCTTTGTGAAAACTTTCACCCTACTCCTCAAACTCAATCAAATTCTCCACTTTGTGGTTCAAAACCAAATAAATTTTTACATGCATCTTTCGTATGTTGATTGATCTTTCTCCTAATTTTGCATCTTGATCACATAAAGTGTCTGCCACCTCTACGTGATGACGGCGGGCAACGACTTTTTGTGCATTATTTTCTCAATTAACTCGAGAGTCATGTCAAGGTTAAAGTTTTTTTTTTATACATCTTTAGTAGATATTTGAATTTTCTCAAAAAAACGTGCTAATACAGAATCCTTGCATCTAAGATGAATATAATCATTTTAACACTAGTTTAATTTAAAATGCATTATTATTTATTTATCCTTAATATCAGGCGCCTGTTCACTTCAAGAGTTCAGCTAACAAGGTCTTCTTTTTATCTCAGACCGCTACTTAGAACAGTTACACTATTTGTATAAATTTATCAGGGCTTACTAAACAATAAAATAGATTACCTTAAGATTATTTCCTAGTTTTAAATCTTGTAATATTTCAAATCAAGATAATTGGGAAAACTGAGGCGTCCAGGATTTTCTTTTGTCCCTAGTACGTGTACTATCACTTCAAATGAAGGTGACCGAGAATAATTATCAATTCAGTAATTAAAACAGTGTAATCAGACTCGTGACGCACTTTGGCGCATTTAGATTTAATTATTAAAAATATACCTTTGGATCTTTTCTAAATATATTTTCATCTTTATCAGCTTTATCTGGAAATACTAGCATTTTGTTATAATTATTATATTGGTGTTCACATAATATCTGCTCATTCAGTATTGTTTATCATGTACCTGTACCCGTACTAGTACGTATGGATAAATTGCTTTTTATTTTATATACTAACGGAATATTACTTCAGTCGCCCAAAGCGAAATGATATAGTGCCACAGACTTCCAAATTTGCCATTTTTTCTGTTTTTAATTTTCCAGATTTAGACACGTTTCCTCAAGTTCAGACGTATTTTTTTTATAGTGTACAAAATAAATAATTTTTTCAAATGCCATTTTTCAAAATACTTAGGAAATAAAATTACCTTATTAATTTTGAGAACGGCATGACCATGGTCTATGTAAACAAAGTTGAGCGCGACGTAGAGTCTATGTCCAATTTTTTGTCTAGCAATTTAGAAAATCTAAGCAAGTTAGAAACAATATCTCTTTACTGTAACAGTTATACAAGTGTTCTTCAAGGTATAAAGCAACTGATAATACATTCAAAATAAGTAAAAAAGGCATATTTTTACCTCATATGTTTATTTTACGTTTCCTGAATTCTTCACGCCTGTTGAACATACAGAAAATCGCATACAGTACTATAAACATAATCACACCCTGCAGAATGCTTTTAGGAAACTATTAACAGAAGCATTTATCACGATTATTTAACATCTTTACAAATTTGCTTGACAAAATAGGAAAGGTACATTTTCTGATATTTTCATTTCTCCGTGATCTTTCAATGTGAACAATCAAAGGAAGTTTTATAGCGATATGCTTCGTTACTTCCTAGATCTATTTGTTCTATCATTGTCTTACTAAAAGTGCGATTTCTTGTCCATGAAACGCCAGCCTCTTAAGGATAAATATTTTTCCCAAATGAGGTGTTTGCTAGCTTTTCAGATATTAACAGAAAATGAAATAATGTGATATCTATTAATAGGAAGCTCAACTCAAACCTCACACCACTGTCATCCCTTTATTTTGTAATAGAGATACAGAGAGGACTTACTTAAATAAGATGTCCTCTGTAATGTACGCTTTCAATTAAAGTTTTTAAAAGCATTAGCATTTTGGCGACACTCAAGCGAAATTATCATCATAAGTGAAATTATTTAGTGAAAATACAAATACGAAAATTGAAACATCCGCAAAGAAAAGCGATAGACATTAGGTTTCTGCACCGTTTACGTTGAATTGACTTACTTGCTTAAATTTTTTGCAAGGAACAGCTTGAGTTTTATTACAGCTATGGAAAACTGTAACTGCCTTATTGCGGAGTTATTTGAAAATATAAATTGAAAAAAATCTTGTGTTGAGTATACACGCTGCTAAAAAAACAAGAGTCAACTTCGAAATCACCCTGTATGATATGTAAGTAAAAGTAATAATTACAATTAAATGCCGCCAATAGTTCTAGGAAGGAAACATCATCGATTTAATCTTTCAAAAAATATATTAGTATAGTCAGTACAACTGTGGATTAGTCTTATCAAAAATATTATATGAAAAACGTGCTACCTTAAAATTATATACAGGGTGATTCCGTCATAATTTCATTAACTTTAAAAATTCTTAAAAAATTAATATTTATTTGCTGTTTAAAAGATTTAAATTTCTAAACTGGAATAATGTATTGACTTAAATGTAACTAGAAATATATTGAAAAGCATACTGAAAAATAGTAGACACTCAGTAATTAAAGATATTGTGAATATATTTACTTACGCAGGTTATTAAACCAAAGCTTCCTTCAAACACCTTCTCTAATTTAGCTGAAAATTCGTTACGTTGCACTCGTTTTTCGATAAATATTTCTTGTTAGTAGTAATTCAATCGTTAATTTTAATACGTGGAAGTGTATAAATATAAAACGCCTCCGACAAGGTAAGAACAATAAATAATTTAAATTGAACGGCGCCGCAGAGCGCACAAATACCTGGCGACTTGATTTTCAACTCTGTTTAATCCGGAATTCTTGGTGGGAAATTTTCTTTCCGAAATATTGGAAAATTTTAATATGTTTATTTGACGCTTATGTAGAAGCTTCATATTAGATATTCTACCGTTTCAGAGAAATAAAAATATTATACACGAATATATATAGTTTCCCCAGATGGGGCTAGAAAAGCGTCAAAAAATATTTCAAATTTATTAAATGAATTGCGGCTAGAAGTCGATGATTACAGAACTTAATCTCCCAATGAGAAAATGAGAACACATAAATTGAATTACTAGGTTTAGTAACTTCTTTAATAGAAAAAGAACATAAGATAATGAGCAAAGCCCCATGAGAGGCTGTCAACGACATTAAAGTTTCTAGATACTGGTCAAAGTTTTAATGTTTTAAAATTGTTACTTTTATCCATGTATTTTTTACTTTTGACACCACTTTGATGCTGAATAACTATTTGACAGGTAAAATCTACTTATGCCACACGCTCTGGATTCTGGAATAATTTGGAGGGTAACTCATATTGAGTTACAGCACTTAGATCCCATTGGGCTCCTTGTGCATCCTCCCAGCGAGAGATCAGCTCTCCTGGTCGTCAACCAACCAAGGAGAAAAAGGTGATGACGTTGCTCGGTGGGATCTCTCTGATGGAGGCCATAGAAGGCCACCCTAGCACGGATTCTCTCGTTGATGAGCCACCAGTGCACTCGGAGAGTACATGGAAAACTGTCGCGTCTTCCTGTTCACTACTTCTTTCCTTAGCCAACAGTGTCCGGTCTGAATACGCTTCACCAGGAAGGCTTACCCTGACCATAGCCAGGTATTTTTTGGCTGTGTCTGCTAGGTATCCTAAGAACTCTTTAGCAAATCGTAAGCTGTTTATTTCATCCCATCGTGTTCTAAACTCTTTGTGGGTGTTTTCCTTAATCATTTCAAAAAGTGTTGACAACGAGAGCACACTGGAGGGACCGTGTCCAAATATAGTAAGATCCGATTTCCTCCTCGCTAGCTTGTCAGTTTTTTTATTGCCATTGCACCGGTCGTGTCCCTTGACCCAGCATACAGATATGATGTTGGTATTTGAGGCCACCACCAGCGTTTGGTGGCATTCCCAGACCGATCTGGACATTATGTTTCTACTATGCAAGATCAGTATTGATTGTCTACTATCTGTGTAGATTCTAATACTTTTGCCCATTATCTGCCTACGGGCAATTTCTTTAGTAGCTATGGTTATACCTGCCAGTTCCGCTTGTATCACGGTGGCACGTCCATTCATAGCCCACTGATATCGGATATGTAGAGATCTAAAATAGATGCCACATCCTGTACTTTCTTTCCTTTTTGATCCGTCAGTGAAGATGTTAATTACACCCTCACTGGCGGCATCTTCCTCATTTTTAATGAGTACTGTGTAGGGTCTGTCGAACACTGGGAAAAATGCTGTCAGGGTCTGCTTGCAGAAGAGGTATCTTCCTGAAAGAGGAATCTTTCTGATATGCCACACGTAGACCTGACAGAACCATCAGTTTTGTGACAGAAGGTGTTCTTTAAACGCACGCATTGGCTCTTTGAGTAAATGTGGCAGATTTGCATCATCGTGTGTGTGTTTACATTCTCAGATAATGCAATCATATCAGGCATGTGTTTTTCTATTAATTATTATTTAAACATATTTTTTTTATTATTTTCTTTACTGTTTGATGAGTATTTGTGTGGCGTAACACAGTGCCAGGTGGGGATGTAGCACATGGAGTAGTTGTTTCCCTCAGTACCAGCAGTAGCAATCTTGTCTGTGACGTTTGACGTTTCTTGCATACATAGATTTCTGGAGACTAAGAATGCTGATTTCATTTGAGAGTATTTCTAGGACGTAATAAAGTTTTATTGCAACTTCCTGCTCATTATTGGATGTAGATTGGAAGGGATCCGTTTATATTTTACTGTTACTTGCGAAATGGAACACTCTGTATACATACATATTTAGGTATTTGCATAACTTCTTTATAACATGTACAGCATAAATTTAAACGCATCTCGTAAAATAAAAATATTTATTTAGTTTGTTAAATATATTTGTGTATTGTTGCACTGAAAAACCCAAATAAATTACACTGAAAACAACTGTCTTTCTTTTTAGTGAAGAATTATTAACTATATTTTAGACCCTGTACTTCAACATAGTTAAATAAAAATAACTAATTTGAATGTGATTTTCAGTTACTGTGGCCACTTTATTTGTCTTTCCAGCCAAAAATTTATGTAGGCTAGACATCTTTATCACGACACTAACCGTCTCTGTATCAAATAAACGAAACCTAAATGACAATTAAACGGGATCAAAATAATTCAAGTCCAGACGAAATATGTTGATAGTTGGCACGTTTTTAAAAGAATCTACTGAATTTCATGCGTCTGCGGTTTCACAAGTCTAGGTTCTGACTCCTCCAGTCTGGCGTTTTGGCTCGATTTCGGCGCACACCTACAAATTTCGTACAGACGGAATAATTTGGGATTTGTTCAAAATACTAGACCGGAAATTCATACATTGAAACGGAAATTATAACGTTTCTATAAGAGCACCGTCACAGAGTGACTTGCAGTTTGTGTTTTACATTCGATTCGAACTGTCAGTTTCGGGGTGAAACAACATGTTAACAGGAACAGTCGTTAATTTCAGTGTAATACAGGGTGTTAAAAAGAGTGTAAAATATTTTAGGAGGTAATAGTATGAACCAAAATAAGCAGAAAAGTCTTAATAACATGGGTCCGCAAAGTATCGGTTGCGGAGATATGGACCACTATTCGTTTTTCAAACATTTTATTTTATTAGGAATAAACCGACAAAGGAAGCTTTTAACAAACAAAAAACAAATTTACAAAGATGTTCAAAGTGCCCTCCGTCCATTTCCAAGCAGGCACGACATCTTCGTCTCAACGATATTCGAACTCTTTCGAAAACACCCTACTTGGTTTGGATTTCTTGACACTTTTGATTAATCCGTAGCTGCAGCTCTTCCAGGCTATTTACAGGAGTACCATACACTAGTGTTTCCAAATATCCCCAAACAAAGAAATCTAGAGGGTTCAGATCAGGCGATATTGGAGGCCATAAAACAGGTCCGGCCCTTCCTACCCATCTATGCGGAAAAGTTTGATGTAAATGCTCTCTAACGGCCATGGAAAAATGAGCTGGAGCACCGTCATGCTGGAACCACATTTGTTGTCTCTGATTCAAAGGAATGTCTTCCAAAAACTCATACAGTGCAGAAAGTTGAGGTAAGCAGCGCCTGTTAATCGGTTTGGTAAAACAACAGGATCTAGAAACCTGTCACCTACAATACCCATCCAAATGTTTTATGAAAAACGTGCCTGATGTCCAGATTCTATTAGAGCATGAGGATTTTCGTCGGCCCAAATATGCGTATTGTGAAAATTAAATACTCCATTTCTTGTGAACCCGGCCTCATCAGTAAAAAGAATGTTTGCAAGAAAACGAGGGTCTTCAGCATCATGACGTAGAAACCAGCGGCAAAAAAACAAACGTGCTTGATGATCATTTATTGGATTTAAGGCCTGTACTCGTTGCTCATGGTATGGATAAAGCAGTTGCTCGTGAAGGATTCTCCAAACAAGAGGACCACTAATTCCTACATCGGCTGATATTCTCCGCACACGCGTACCTGGATTCTGCTCTACCAGTGCTAGAATTTCTTCTTCTGCTCTAGGAGTGGATACCGACCTTGGTCTTCCGGATAAATGGCACTGTTTGCTCAAGGAACCGGTATCACGCAATCTTTGGTGAATTCTTCCAAACATGCGTTGTGAAGGAATCTGGCGATTTGGATAAGCGTCAACATAAAGACGTCGCGCTTCGGTGGCGTTCCCATTAGCACGACCATACATGAAATGCATGTCTGTTAATTCTGCGTTAGAGTAACCAGCCATAGCGAAAGAAAACTTGTGCACTGAGAACAACTGTCAAATACGTACTGTTTATTTCACTAAACATCAACCAACTATTATAAGGAAATACACAACGTTTTTGCAAAATAAAAAAAGGGCAACCGTTACTTTGCGGACCCATGTTTATCGAGACTTTTCTGCTTATTTTGGTTCATATTATTACCTCCTTAAATATTTTACACTCTTTTTTAACACCCTGTATATTCAAGAAGAGAAGCTGTTACATTCTAAAGACAAACTGAGTATACAGGGTGAGTCTTGAAAATCACACCAAACTCCAGGAATGGATTCTACACGTCAAAATAATAAGAAAAAACTCAAATGCTGTTATGCGATTTTCATTTGTTTTCAAGTTAAGTGTCATTTTATGTTGCAATAATTTAACATTTGATTACACGTTTGTATAATCAAAGTGTTACAAAATGTACTTATTCAAATTGAGATTACGCAAATGTGGTGTTTATTTATCGTTTTTGTAATGGGAATGCTAAAACTGCTGTTGAAGAATATCCTTAACGGTTTCTACATCACAGAAATCATGATAAAAATGTAATTACCAAATTTTTCAACAAACTGGGCTATTACCAGATCATGAAGAATTGCTACTCAATTAGATATTCCACAAAAAAGGGTAATAAAAACAAGCCTTACAACCGGAAGGTTATGCTAAGCGTACCGAGTTTTGTCAATAGATCAATAATAAACATCTTGTTGTATCCCGCATACTTTTATGGATGAAACTACATTCACTTATGACGGCATAACTAATACTCGGAATTCTCATGTATGATCAGACGAAAATCGTCACGCAACAGTCGAAGTAAGTTTCAGCATAAGTTTTCGGTAAACGTGTGGTATGGTATGATCGATAGTTATCTAATTAGCCCTTTCATTTTGGAGAATCCACTCACAGGAGACCATTACTTAATTTTTAAACACAATGAATTACATGTTCTAATAGAGGATGTTCCTATAAACATACTAATGCGAATGTACTACAGCACGATGGAGCTCCTGCACATTTCGCTCGTCCAGTCAAGCTACATTTGAACAGAGGTTGGTTCTATTAGTTGGCCTCCGAGATCTCCAGATTCTACAGCACTAGATTACTGTTTATGGAGCTGGTTCAAAAATGAAGTATACATAGTTGTAGTGAACACTCAGGAGGCACTAATTCGACATATCAATACCGCAGCATTTATTAAAGAATCAGGAGAGGTACGTAGACGAAGCAGAAAGTATTTAGAGGTGTTTTTGAACATTTAATCATAGAACGCTATAATTAATAGAATATCAATACATTAATTTTTTTTTGAAAAGTACGTCATAGCTCGAAAACAAAAGAATTTGGACCATGACATACCCTGATTTAATATTTTTAAAATTTGTAATAATTACGCTTTAACTTGAAAACAAATGAAAATCGCATAACAGCATTTGAGTTTTTTCTTATTATTTTGACGTGTAGAATCCATTCCTGGAGTTTGGTTAATTTTTTACGCACCANCAAATAATGCTGTGATCAATAGAATATCAATAAACTATTTTTTTGTATTCAAATGTATGTCATAGCTTGAAAACAAATGAAAATAGCGTAACAACATTTGAGTTTTTTCCAGTTATTTTGACGTGTAGAAACCATTTCTATAGTTTGGCGAGATTCTCCCGACTCACCCTGTATAAAAAACACATAGTTCATTGACAAACAATGTTTGTCGTTTAAAGACTAATTTTTTACTTAAACAAAGATAACTCACATTGGAAAACAGAAATATTTTTATAAATATATTACCTATAACTTTAAAATACTTAGAAAAGTGTTTTAAATTATTTATCTTGAACATACCTTCAAGTAGGTAGGTATTCTGTGTAAGAATTAACCACCCCCATAACTTTTTCATTTATTACCCTATTTTATCGTTTTTTTTTTTAATAAAATAAAACTCATAAAAGCTTGTGGGAGGCATGTCCCAATTATTTTATAATTCAAAGCCATGACCAACTGCGATCACTTATTATGCAAATTATCTGTTTTCATGGATTTTTTAAGAAAAAAATCCACTATTCAGAGTAACCTGAAACATAAATAGACAAATCTTTGTAGTGCCGATAATAAAGAACACATTTTTAAAATATTTTTAAAGGACAAACATAGTTTTTGTTCCTTAGAATTTTTGCGCAACATTTATCTACAGTCTGACTTTAACAATAAAATTGTTGAAATTACGTAAGTGTTGCATAAATATTCGGAAACATTACAAACCTGTTATGCCAAAAATATTCAAGAACTGAATTCACTACTTAAATATATGTTGCGATTACCTAAACACCTGTTCTTAGTTATTTTCAACATACTGTATCTTAAATTTTGTGTCAAGTCATTCTAAGTAAAAATCTATTGGAATTGTTTTGTTAAAAAGTTTTTTAATATCCATTTTATAATCGTTGCTAAGGATAAACATCTGGCATGAAACTAGCAGGAAGTTTTGGTTTTTGAAAATATAAAGTATTTGTTATTACGTATTATATTTACCATATATTATTATTAATTTATTTGCATGATTAAATAAATATATATTTTCAAGAATTAAATAATTACGTACATATTTTATTTTTAAATAAACTTATTCCCTAAAAACAAATTATATTATATTTCCTAATGCGCAACCGCGAACAGACAACGCAGCATAAAAGTAGAACAGCATCGGCCATTATTGTACATGCATGGTGTGAGGTGTGACTGCGCATTATTATGTATTACATAGATATTCTATTCTCCAAATAAGGTTTGGAAAGCCCCATTGAAATATTATCCACAATTTAATTGCCCTAATTAAACATTAAGTGGGTCTCTGAGTTATAATAATTAAATCCTAATTGAATAAAAATAAAATTAATAATGAATAATAGTAATACATAGTAAATGAATAAAAAAAGAGATAAATAAAAAATATATTTAAAAGGCAGATTAAGGTAGTTTTTTCTACAATGAACGCAGAAAGAATACCAAATAAATATCCAGGAAAAAATATCACAGTCCCACAAAAAAAATACCAAATTCGGATTCAGTGACCCCAAAAACACCAGGGTCTTGTTTTTCGGATATTCCATTTTTTTTGTGTAGCTGTGAATATTTTAATTAATTTTAATACCCTCAATAACTATACAGGGCATTAATTAAGTATGTACAATAAATTCAACAGACGATTATTTGAGCTATTTTAAAACCAAAAGTTCATATAAACATTGGTCCGCAGATGCTTCGATTTTAAGATACAGGGTGTTAAACTTTTGTAAAAAAATTGCTATTTCGTATAAATACCTTAAATACCCTTTACCCAATTTTATTATAATTTGGCAGTGTCATTTGTACTTTATGTTATTTAGATGTTACATGTTATTAACAAAAAATTATAAAAAATAATAATTTCCAAAAGAAACGTTTTCCCATGTTTCTTGTGTGATCTAGGAATATGCAATTAAGTGGATTTCATTTTTTTTCTACAAAAATTAATCAAGATACGAAAAACATTCAGGTGATAAAAAAGTTGTATTTTTAGTTGCTTAATTCAAAAAACATATAAAAATTCAGTGGCGTACATTTTTTGTCAAAAATATTCGTTAAGGTACCGCTCGGGACGCCACTGGTCTTAATAAATCTAATCAAGTTAGGGTTAAATTATCCCTTTAATACTACAAATAACACTGCCAAATTACAACAATATTGGATAAAAGGTATTTAAGATATTTCCGAAATAACAATTATTTTACTAACGTTTAACACCCTGTCTTCAAAACGAAACATCTGCTAACCAATGTTTATATGAAGTTTTTGTCTTAAAATCACTCAAATAATGGTCTGTTGAATTTATTGTATATACTTAATTAACGCCCTGTATATAATTTTCCATTTTATACTGTAGTATAACTACAGTACCTTCGTAATAATTAAAATTGAATAAATTCTTTTGTCAGTGTACCCCCATTATAAATTTTGATGCCCATGTATTCTTTCCGCTTGACTTGTTTTTCAATTTAAAATCCATTTGATATGCACCGAGTGTTGCATGGAAGCCGATGTATTTTGTACCATTAGTTGGTCATGTTTTAGAGTGCTTAATCCGCATGACAACTGGCACGCGAGCTGTTTTTTCGTTAACGAGACGAAGATAGGGACGTGTCTGTTAGGCGGTAGTACGGGGAACAGACATATTTACTCAAGCGAGGTAACATGAGACATCAAAAGTTTTTCATTAATAAATGCTAAAGACCAGTTAATAAATAATTTGAACGTGAGTCCTGTTGTCTTTTCACAAAATTGGTTTCAGATTTTTAATTTTGATCTGTTTTATTAACGTACTTTTAAAATATTTTTGTCAACTTGTGAAAAGTACTATTGATCTCTTTAACAAAAACTGCAATAAAACACAAATGGTTGAGGTTGTCCGAAGCTGTCTTACGTTGAAACGAAAATATAAAAACTACAAATAATTTCAAATGAAAATTTTTAAACATAAACAATATCATAAATAACAATATTTATAAACAATGTAAGTTACCTGAAGAACTAGCTTTAACCCGGCGACTGTGTGGTGGGGTGAAAAATACCCGAATGTATCTTCAGCAGTGTTACAAATAGCCACTTCCACTCCCACACCCTCCCCACCCTTGCTAGCTTCCTCTCTCATAATAGTGCACGCATTCCTTGACAAATTTCAGTATTCTATTAGGTGTTCATGAAGTAGTGTCGCTTTTATCGATTTTTTGGGTGATTTTAACCCCACCACACTGTACCAGTTCTAAATTTATTTCATCGTTGGGTGATTTTTACCCCACCACACTAATAGATTTCTTCATAAAGTAAGTACAAGTTTTTCAAATGTTTTTACCATTTTCCTGACGAATTTGTATTTTAGTTGTGCCAATATGAGCTCTTGGGAAGAAGAACAAAGTAGATTATTGAAGCTGTGGAATGAAGTATCTAGTGATTCTGATTTGGAGGCAGGAAGTGAATCTGAAGATGATATAGTTCAGCAATCAGATCACAATTCCGCATCTGAAGAAGATGCAGAAGATTTGGATACAAACAAAGCGGCGGATAAAGTAACTCCTGAATATTTCAATGAACCAGGAACATCTACATCTTCTGAACCATCGGAGGCATCAGCTGAATCATTGCGAGATCTCGATTCTTCAAAAAGAACGGGAAAGTCCAAGTTCTTTGTAGGAAGAGATGGAAAAACCAAGTGGGCAAAGGAGTGTCCAAAAAAATCCGTTAGAACTCGACAAGAAAATTTAATCACTCTTTTACCTGGGGTACGGAATAATGCCAAGCATTGTAAATTGACTAGTGAATGTTGGGAGCTGTTCATAGATGATTTGATGGTAGCTGATATTGTAAAATATACTAATATAAAACTAAATGTAGTTGCTGAAAAATATAACAGCCAACATAAGTATATCGTCAAGCCAACAGATGTAGATGAAATCAAAGCAGTGTTTGGACTGTTGTACCTGGCGGGAGTTTATAAAGCCAATAGACTAAATCTAGAGTATCTATGGGCCACAGACGGAACGGGAGTAGAGGTTTTCAGACTAACGATGTCTATGCAAAGATTTGTTTTACTTTTACAATGCCTCAGATTCGACAATATCGAGACCAGAGAACAAAGAAAGCAAATAGACAAACTTGCTGCCATACGTGGTATATTCGACCGATTTGTGTCGAACTGTCAGCAGTACTATATTCCCAGCCAATATGTAACAATAGATGAAAAATTGGAATCATTCAGGGGGCGATGTCAGTTCAGGCAATATATGCCAAATAAGCCTGCAAAATATGGCATTAAAATATTTGCATTAGTCGATGCCAAGACTTTCTATGTGCTGAATTTAGAAGTGTATGTTGGATCCCAACCTGAAGGCCCCTTTCAAGTAAGCAACAAGCCATTTGATTTAGTTGTCAGACTTGTTCAACCAATAAGTAGAACAAACCGAAATGTTACGTTTGACAACTGGTTTACTAGCATACCTCTTATGAAGTATTTGCTAACTGAACACAGGTTAACCTCAGTTGGAACAATTCGCAAAAATAAGAAAGAGATACCAGCTGCTTTTTTGGTGTCTAAAAATAGGGAAAATAGCGAGCCGATTTTTGGGTTCCAGAAGGATGTGTCCTTGGTTTCACTCGTTCCAAAGAAAAACAAAATTGTCTTAGTGGCTTCTACACTCCACCATGATGATACATTCGATGCAGATACAAGAAAACCTGAAATCATACATTTTTATAATCAGACAAAATGTGGTGTCGACGTGGTTGATGAAATGTCTGCATTGTATAACGTTTCCCGTAATAGCAAGAGGTGGCCTCTTACAATTTTTTTTTCTTTATTGAATAATGCCGGTATAAATAGTTATGTCGTGTACACTCATAACAATCCGACGGAAAAACTTAAGCGACGAAATTTTCTGAAGCAACTTGGTTTAGCGCTCATAAAACCGCATTCGGTGAAACGAAGTGATAACCTTCGTGTATTGACTGACATAAGAAGTNTATCTTGCACTGTAGAACGCGGAATTGAATGAGAAACTGATATTCGGCGGGCCGAAATACCTTTCTCATGGGCTTTTATAATAGAAACTCGTAAATCTTTACTTAGAGGTTTACCACGAGGCATTTTACGTTAAATCTGAAGCAAAACGTGGGTAAAACTAATAATGACAGACCTTTTGTTGAATTATTCAGTATGTGTTTTGTTTTGGAGAACTTATATCAGTTTCATGGCAGATATGATAAGAGGCCGAACTATAATGACCCATTGGTTGGATTGCATTTTTGTTAACTATGTTTTCCTCAATTTGAATTTTGTCAAAAGTGATTAAATTTAGTAAATTGATAGTCTATACTTTATTACAAGTGAGGTAGTTTTAAGGAAATCTTTCATCATTTTGGTAGAATGTGTAATTTATTCAAGTATTTAATTAAAAACGTTGGCTGGCCGAACTATTATGAGCCTGGGCTCGTACAGGTCTGGTCGAACTAAATGTGGAGGTGGTAGAAATGTATACGCCCAGTTGAAGAATGCGAGCGCGGGCAAACGAAATCCAAACACAGCTCCATTGGGCCCCTGGGCAATAAATCTCAGCTGTTGACAAGGGGTTGACAAATTGCCCAGCGATGCAGTGCAGCAATGCGGAATTTGTGATTCAAGTAATTTTAATTTATTATAGGCACCTTCTATTAATCATTCATAGATATTACAATTGCGAGAGGGAGAAATAAGAAGGATATTTTGTTTACTAATAATATTACAACATGGCATTTTGGAAACCTTTTGAAACGGAATGAAACGAAATTTACTTCAATATAATAAAATTGTTTCAGGACATAAATAATTAAAATATGTTGTTGGACAAATGAACATATAGGTAATAGAAATTTTCTACACGTTATATACAAATTATTATAATTTTTTATCTTTAGCAGAAAACTTTTTTAGGGACGCCTATGAAAATCATTAAATTTTATTACCAGGCGTTTTTTACATGTTCAACTGACTTCGGAAAGACTATATCTCTCCTGTTCTGTTGAGAATTTCGTAAAAATAGGTACTCGATAATTAATTCATCATAAAAGTATTCTGTGGTGTTTCCTAAGTGCGGTCCATAACTTCAGAACACAATTTCTTATGGTATTCAAAGAAAAAAAGTTCCTATAAACATGTGGTCGGCAACGCTTAGATTCCGAGATACAGGGTGTTGAAAATTAAAAAATATATATTAATATTGGAAATAAATTAGGAACAGTCAATGTTAGATTTTTAAAATTTGGCAGCTGTTGTACGTTGGTAAAGAGTTGCATTTTTAGTATAAATTCAATTTTTACCTGCCGCCAGTGGCGTAGTTAGACGTGAGTTAGTCGACGTTTTCGTCATAAAATATAGAACGCCAACGGGTTTTTAAATCTTTGTTATTTTCGAACTCGTCTAATATTTTACAACAAAAAAGGTTTTTTTGTTGTCTTAGTTACTTGTTTGGTACCCAGATTGTTGGCATTTTGCTATAAGTTGTCAATCAAAAATGTGGCTTAGATAATAAAATTCGAAAATGAATAACTTTACAAACGCTGAAATGACTCGGATGCAAAAGACTGTTTGGAAAGTTTTGAAAGTTTGTCAGCTATTACCATACCACATCCAACGGGTACAAGCTTTGCTGCCCTGTGATTTTCAGCCAAGGTTACATTTTAGTAGGTGGTTCCTCCATACAGTGGCACATAATAACAATTTTTTGACGAAATGGATGCATGGGGAAGATTCATGACTATCTCATTGAACCATACTTTTTACCAGCTCGATTCACCGGTGACTCGTATAGGCAGTTTCTAGCCGAAGAACTAAACGTTTTATAAGAAAATGTATCTCTACAAGTACGGTGTCCCAGTTCATTTCAGCTCGTCAGTACCTCGACAACATTTTCGTAATTCCTGGATTGGACGCGCTTGGTCTCCAAGCTTGGCCAGCTCGCAGTCCCGATATGAATCCTTGCGACTTTAATGCATGGGGTCACCTTAAGTCTCTTATGTATAAGACATCTGCACTAAATGAAAGCGAGTTACGAAAGTTAAATAGGGTGTTAGAGAAATAAGTATTAGTTTGATTCAGATACAATAAACCCAAATAAGAGGAAGTTTGTTGATTTTTGAGCAATATGAATCTTTTTGGTTTTTATTTTGACAGTATGAATAATAAGTTTAGAGCTAATACTTTCTTTGTATAAGTATTTGCTTAAAATATCATATTATCGTTACTATTCTGATGTTAATTTTTTAATAAAAACAATTTTATTCTGGTCGAATTTCATCTCGTCGTATTTATAATTCCTGCCTATTATGTTCTCACTTGAAAACTAGTGGAATAGAAAAAACATTTTAGCTAGACTCGTATTTCCAAAAATACTTCCCCACCTTATTGAAATAGGTTTCTATCATCTATTTTTAGAGGACTAACTTGGTTCTCCAAGTTCTTTTCCGTTACGTTTTGTTATCTTCTAGTTTTCAACAAAACGATTATTTGTTGAGATAAGTTACTGTTTGATGCTACTGTTCAAATTATGTTTTAACATATTTAGCTAGTAGTCAAAGTTTTACAATTTGTGGAATGTAAATATTAGTAATCGATAAATACTTTCTATATAATTTTAAAAAAATACGATATCTAATTATTTGCGAAGAAGGAAATGGAGTATATAACAATTTTATGAAGAGTATTCCAACTAGATATTCTGCAAACTTAAAAGTCCTTCGTTAATTTTACATTTTTTCCCTTTATTTACTGCTGACTGTAGGAAGTAAACGAAGAAAAAAAAATAAAATGATTGATTTCATCTCTATACAGGGTGGTCCTTAAGTAATTGAACATAGAAGTATGGTAGATTTGTGACTAGAAAATTTTACGATTTGAGCCAACTTGCCTTAATAAAATATTGATAATAAGAAAGATACAGGGTGTTAAAAGCGAAATTTCAAAATTTATTTTTCGCAATAACTTGAACGTTTTTGGACATTTATACAAAAAAATTATTAACTGGGGGTTTCTTGGTATGAGAAATCATAATTTGGTATCTAATTTAATGTATCTTTTAGAGGGCGCCACATAAGCCACATGTGTGGCATAAATGTACACTAAACTTTCTTGCCCATCAAGGTAGCGCTCTTTTGGGTAAAAAATATTGAAAGCACGGCATTGTAAGAACAAAAATGTATACTTGTTAACAACCTCTAAACTTAACGGTTTTCGAGATAATCAATTTTTAAAATCGGTTGCATAATTCTGCTTTAATTCATTACGAGAAATAATAACGTAGAAATCGTATACGCTTATCATGTTTTTACATCAACAGGATGAATATTAACGTAATACTAGGAGTTGACATCAAAAATTTAAAAAATTTTCAAAATTAAATAAAAGCTGTTAAAATATAAGCTAAATAATCATAACTAGAAATGAATTTTACACATATTAAGAAAAGAAAACACTAAGCTAACTAACATTACAAGTTTAATTATGTCAAAGTAAGTATTCGATATGTCAACCATTCTCTTCGATGCATTTATCCATACATTCCATAAAAGATGGCCTCATATTAAATAACATGATTGGTCCAAAAGAAACTACAGTTGCATTTATTTCTTCCCAAAGTTGGTTGCGAGTATTTATGGGACTTTTATAAACAAGTTGATTCATTGCGCCCCATACTCCAAAATCGAGAGGATTAAAGTCTGGGCTACGTGCTGGCCAAGGAAAATGACTACCACGACCAATTCAACGTTCAGGAAAGTTGGTATTTAGATATGTTCTGACTTCTATCATATAATGAGGAGGTGCACCATCTTGTATAATCCGCATATTTTGCCTGAAATTTAGTGGCAATTCTTCCAAAAGATCAATGAAGTCATTTTGTAAGAAATGTAAGTAGTTCTCACCATTCAGAGTATGCGGGAAATCGTATGGCCCTAAAAAATGGTCACCAATGATCCCACAATTTTGAATTCGTGTTGAAAATATCTTTCTCTTTTAAAATAAGGATTTTCAATTTCCCAGATATGATTATTTCTTAAATTAAAAATACCACGGCGGCTAAATGTTGCCTCGTCCGTAAATAATATTCTATTAATAAAGGTCAAGATTTTGCGTTTTTCGGATATCATTTGCAAATTGGTATATTAATGGTAAATGTGCTGGCAATAAATTTTGCACAGGCGTAAAATGGTAGGGGTGATATTTATCGAGATGTCTTTTTAAAACTGAAGTTTTACTGATTCCTAAGGCTGAAGATAACCTTCTTGTACTAACTTGAAGATCATCTGCAACGTGAACCAATTTCATCATCTTGATCAGGCGTAATGATTCGGTCGGCCTAAATTATCACGTTTAGGACGAAATGAACCACTTTCGCCTAAATTCCTAAATAGATTTTCAAATGTTTGGTGATTAGGTTGCAGCCTGTTTGGATATCTTCTGAAATATTCCCATTTCGTAGTACGTCCGTTGAAATATTGCTGGCAGTAAATAGTAACCATATCTCTCATTTCTGTATTAGAGAAATTATTGTCTCGGCATTTTCTGTTATTCCTTAATTATCATAAATACTCAATTAAAACTTTTTCAAACGTCATACATTATGAAAACAAGAATGTTTAGCTGTTAAAATCATTCGTGACTTCCGTCTACTACGTTACTATTTCTGGTAATGAATTAAAGAATTATGCAGCCGATTTTTAAAATTCGATTATCTCGAAAACCGTTAAGTGTAGAGGTTTTAACAAGTATACATTTTTGTTCTTACAAT